AAAATGCAATCAGCTTACATCGAAGCAGATAGTTTGCAGGCTCATAAAGTTTAAGAACTCTACAACTGACATCAATCAATGTCGAACTCTTTATTTCAATCAAAATTATGCTTGCCTTATTATAGTGGATAATTAAAAAAAAGTACATAAGAATTAATTCAAATACTCATTTAATATACTATTTAACTACAAACATTTATATATATTCAAAAAATCTTAATAAATAAGGCTTTAAATAAGAATTAACCCAGATTTATTTTCTTGCTTTTGCCTTCCATTGCTTCAATTTTGTCTAAGCTTACCAACTTCGTGATGTGACGTCTTGAACCCAACCCTTGTTTTTCGCATTCTTAGCAGTTTAGCATGTTTTAATTAAAGTGATAAGTCAAGTGTTCTCGGCACACAATATGTTATACAAGTATTTTTATAATCTCTATATGCTATAGTTGTCCGATATTGGCAGCTTCGACAAATGAGCAGCTTCTTGACGAGAAAAAGACGTATGTAAAATTCAGATCGATATCTCAAAAACTGAGGGAGTTTGCGTATATACACCTGGACTTGTCTATATCGACTCGGCTCGTAACGTTGATCATTTATATACTTGTATGTATATACTTTATAGGGTCTTCGAGGTTTCCTTTTGTGTATTAAAAACTTCATGGCATATTTCATATACTCTGTTCAGCGTATAAAAATTAATTTCCCATTCATTGTTAAACGTACTGTAGCATCTACCAGTGATTTCTGTTAAAATTTCTATAAAGTTCTTAAAGCCTAATTGATAAGTCTAATTGAAACTTTTTGTGTACGCGAGATCGTTCATCATTTTTTTATGCATTCCGCACAGTATCTCACGAGGCAGCGGGATCATAGCGAATATCATACCACCGGACATAATTGCTAGGGAAATCAAAAGAGTTTACGGTAGTTCCAAAAGTATAGGAGCAACTAACGGTTGCAGAGCGGAAAGAGACGCAGCTACGAAGGGAAGATGGGCCCATAGAAATTAATAGCGGAGCGAGTCGAAACTGGTGTGGTCGAGTGAGAATGTGGCCTGCGATAGTTCTGCAAGAACTTAGAAGGAAAGAGTGGCATGGGAGCGAAAGCAGAAGGATGAACGAGAGATGGGCCTGAAAGGCGTGACTCACGAGCCGAATGGCTAAGCTTGGCCTCACTATGTAATGTCGAACGGCAGTTCTGTGAGCCGTTCACAAGCACTGATGATGAAGTTAAAGGTTTAGCACGTAGGCGCGTTGTTCCGCAAATCTAGATGGGCGTAGTCCCGAATGAGGTGCACCCTTAGAGGGCAATTCGAATCGTGCATATCGTCCGCAAAAATGATATCTTTAAAGATTCCCCCTCCGAACAAAAAATAAAAAAAAATTCTTATTCTAATTCTTTCAATGTATTGGAGTTTCGGTAGAGAAGTAATATTTAATTTTTGTTTTTTTAGAACAGAGTTTTTTGTCCTACTGCACTTTCTTACATGTTCATATATATGTAAATAAATATGTGTACATTTATGTACATATACTATATATATTATTTTTATTTCTCTAGTTATTGTTTATTTTTCTGACATGCCTTTTGGCATTAATCTGCACTCTTATTAAATATGTAAAAATTTATTTACAACAAAGCTCGCACTGCATACAAATATATATGGTATACATATGTGCATATGGTATGTATGTGTGTACGATTTCTTATTAGTACAATGATAACAGAATATCATTATAAACAAATAAATTAATCTGAAGTCATGTTTATATAATAAATGGGCTTGGCCAGATGTCAATGGGCAAAGATTTTTTGATTAAGAATATTATTATTTATTATTCTTATTAAAATACTTGATAATTAAAATAAAATTTTTGCAAAAAAAAAATAAATAAATTTAATATTTTATATTAAAGAAGTAAAAAACGATTTTAAGTTTAGTAACACAGGAATGATGCCTTATACAATACATAAAATACATAACTTCATATATAAATATATACAAAATATTACAATTATATGCATATCGTTTACTATGTATCCATGTACAGATTAATCCACTCTCCTTCTGAAGTAGTCTTCGGATATATGTACATAATGTAATATAAGTAGTATATAGTAATATTTATATGTAAAAGTAGTTTCCTTTTGTTATGCCACACTGTCTGCTGGGTAAGGATAAAAGAGAATAGACACTAAAAACATGTACATACATATAAACATAGTATATTTTTTCATAAATATACTAAATACTCAGAATTCAAAATTTATTTATATATTTTATAAATAAATATATTTTTTATTTGTTGCTAAAAAAATATTTTGATTTTATTTTTGTTTTATTGATTTTTGGTTTGTTATATAAATATTTTCATTTATTTTATTTTTTTTGTTTTTAACATTATTATTAATTTTTTTGTTAAATAATTTTTTATTTTTTTTAATAAATATTTTTAGCTTGCCTTCTATATTTTATTTACTCTTTTATTATACAGTTTTTTGTTTACCTTTCCGTCGTTTTACTCTATTTTATGGATGCAATGATTTCAAATAAATTTAAAAACCTCTTCCCTAACGTATATTTACTTTCCACGTCGTTTGATTTGAATTTTTCAAAAGCTTCATCGTTTACTTATCATTATGTACCAACAAAGCTTTCAATGAATACCTATTGCTGCCTAATAAATAATTTTTCGTGTTACTATAGTATAAGTATGTTTATTGACAATTTACTATTGTGTCCTCGATAGTATAGTGGTCAGTATCCCCGCCTGTCACGCGGGAGACCGGGGTTCAATTCCCCGTCGGGGAGATATAAAGTTGTTTTTTTTTATTTGATTTTTTTTTTGCAATTGATTTTTTGTTATATGTAATATAATGCAATTTGTATATGTATATGTGTAAAATATAATAAATTAAAGTTATTGTATTGAATAAAAAAATATTATTTCAAATGAGTGCATTTTTTTATTATATTATCCAAAAATATATTTTGTAGAAAAATATTATATTATAAACATATATATTTTCATATAAAAGGTAAATAATGTACTCGTATATAAAAAAGTTTTGAATTATTTTCCCCAATATTTTACTTTCTTTATGCACCATTTTCCTACTAGACAAGCAATAAGCTTAATAATAAGTGATTTGGAGGTATGCTGCCGAGTTGACAGTCTTTGCCCGGATACAAATTCAAGCCCGTTTCGTGTACGTACACCCGATTGTCGTAGCAACGGTATTTTTTTTTATCGTTTTAAGCTGCAAACAGAGATATTTTCAGACCTTTCATCTCTTTCTTAAACTCGATTTAATATAAAATAAAATAAATGTTTAAATTAATTATATTTAAAAACAAGAAAAAACGTTCACATCGGTTGCTCCGAAGCTATAATACCCTTCACAAATACGAAATATTCCTTAAAAATGTATTTTGAAACTTAGTTTTTAAATATTTAGTAGTTGGTGTTATAAAAAAAAATCCAATTTAATTTTTAGTTTTTTCCAATTTTTATTAAGACAAGAAGCATACATATACATACATTTACATATAGAAATATAAGCAGTTTAAAATTTATAGAAATATTCGATTATGTTAATAATCGAGTGTCAAATAAATTATCATCCATTTATCAATTTATAGGTGGACTAATCTTTGTATAAAAGTAATGTTTCATAAAATAAAATCATTATATAAAACGCCATATATGTATACAGCACAAAAATTCACCAAAAAATTATTCAAATATTTTTTGAATACAAAAATTTAACAATTTCATAACTATTACTGTGAAAGTTTAGATATTTTGTGGGTATTGGTATTTCATTGCTTAAAATTGCTCTAAATTATTTCTGAAAACAACCTCAGCCCACTTATGTCCCCAAGCTATTAGCTACATACTTGTAGTATAAAATTTTGTTGACAATAATTAGTTTGTATTGCGTTTTTTTTTTACTTTTACACTTTATAAATGTTGTATACAAAGAACTAAATATACAGCATAGCACAAATAAGCCTACATGCAACGAACTAGTATGTATGTATATGTACATATGTATATATGTAAATACATGTTTTTAAAATTAAGCTATATTCTATAGGCTTAAAAATTAAGGAAATTGCGTCTTATAAAATCTTCGTTACACATAATAATTTCAGTTGTTTATAAATGCTATAAAATCGAATTTAAAATATATAGGCTTTATGTCACTCTTAAAACATGCAATTGACTTTTATGAACATACATATGTATACAGTTAGGTAGTGCGCACAACAATAAACTTAAGCTAAAAGTAAACAACAAGCTTTAGGAAAACAATTATAAGAAATTGCGTTGGTAAAAATTACATATGCTCCGTTTCGGACATTTCCAAGTCGGAGTCATCGAAGTCGATGATCTAAAAAAAAATAAACAAAGTTTATTAAATATAATTTTTCTATTAATAATTTAAATTTTAATTTTTATAATGATTTCTCTTCATTTTACACCCACCGTGCTATCCAATGCCTTAAAATCAGAGATGCCAGTCAAGTCTTCTAAATATTTGGCCGTTTCGAAAGCTTTGAATAAAAATGCATTCCCTTGGGCGCGATATTCCGCAGTTATTTTCTGCGAACAGCAAAAGTGTGAAATATTCAATACATACATACATAGACATATGAACATTTAATTATTTATACAATTACTTACTTCCGAACAAGCAATGCACTGAGAGAATTTCTGCGTTGCCGGCAAAATGTTTTCGAAATTGCTCAGCTGCCCACGTATCGAGTGCGGTATGATGCCGAGTAGCCCCTCTGGCTCTTTGCTATTCGATTGACCGTTAGCGCAGTAGTAGGCGGGTGCGCGGTCACGTAGTGGATGCTGCAGCAGTGACACCAACAATTCAACTGCATAGCTAGCGGCAATACACGATACACCTGGTCGTGTAACGGTACATTGCTGATCCAATGTGCGATCCTTGAGCGACTGGAGTTGGAAAAATATTTGGAATGATAATTTAAAATATAATTTGAATTTATTTGGTTTAAAGTATAACTAGTTATATGCAGCTATAAACATATTTAACTAAACATTACAGTAGATAGATTTTTTGAAATTGTCCTTCGACAATATTTAGACGAAGTTTTGATGATGATCCCCTATACAAGTTTAATCTCAACCGTTCCTCAATCACTGTTTCGGAACTGTAAACAAAGTGTTTCTTGGATACTATCGCCAACCAACATCAGAAATCTGAATGCTAACTTGCGGTTATCTTCTTTTTTAAAGCAAGATGTTTCTACAATTTTTGCTTTCTGTGGAGAGATGGGTGACTCCCTTATCAGTTTATAACTGAAGGATCCTACAAGTTTTATGCTGGATAGACTAATGGATTAATGAGAAAGAAGTTCGTAATTTTACTAGTACCTGTCAAGGGGTAACTACCTTTTTAGAGTCACTAGACGACTGGAAACAAGACCACACTACTTTGACTAGAACTATTCAAAGAACGCTGAGCACGTTGTTCTCCTCTGCAAACGCAAAAGAAAATGTCGGTTGATTTAGTGAAATTATTGTTTTAGGTGCTTATATTTGCTAAGTAGCTTGAACATGTCCAAAAAGCGGCTCTCATCGACATTTCCAGCGCACTGCGCTTAATGTCAATTAACACGTAGCACCCGTGGACATTGCCGGCAGGTATATTGCTGCATAGTGCGCTCTTAGGCTCAGGAAAGCTGGGTATATGAAGGAGTCCAAACAAAGACACGCCGAAATTCTGAATGTTGAGTTTTCTGAAAGGAGCTCTCCGTCAATCATAGCTTTAAGCTACCGGAGCACTGTAGTATTTTAGGCATAAGGAGCTGCTATTAAATTGCCGGTAGACGAACTGCTACGAAGTAAAACCTCTTTCTGTGATGTGAGCAATTATTTCGACAGCAAAGTGGCAATACTAGCGCTAGTCTAGCTAATTTAGTCAAGGAGTGTCTGTACTCACTAAAAAAAACAACAAGCTACTACATCATCAGACTTGTTTAGGTACGTGGTCATAACGGAAACACTGGCAACTACAAACCCGATGAGCTAGCCAAAGCTCGCATCGGAATGGGACCGAGCTTGTCTTGTCGGGCGCTAGTTGTCAAAGCCTTTGCAAGACTGAGGTTAAACATCACGGCAGTCTTACCTTTGGCGAACCCGAAGAGTCTAGTCTCAAAGCCCCTTGTCCATTTTTAAGGGTCGTATGATGTATTAAATATGAGTTATAGTTACCACAACAGACCGGCGTTCTAAGTTGTCCAAGTGAGATTGCTGTTAGGATCGATCTCTTAACCTAACTTTACAAGAAATGCAAAGGCTGTTCTGAAGAAAACCTCTGCGAAAGGTAGGGACCAAAAGTTACAATCCAAAATTTTTAGAACTTTTTTCTAGGGCCTAAACTTCTAATGAAATAAACTCTTCTCATGAATTCCCGTTTATATGAAAGGCATAAATGCAAATTCTTAGATTTAATATTTTGCAGTTCTTCCATATTTTGTTACTACAAGCAATCAACTATTTAAAATTGCTGATAGAAATATATCAGAATTACTTTGATATTTAAATAAATTAAATTTTTCAAAACTATCCACTACTAACTACATGGTATGGTCTCTTGGTTAACAGTTAAGCAGAATGACGTGTCACTAATATTTATTCATTAACTTGTATTTACATTAACATTGGCACTGAAAAAATTAAAAAATTAGCTGAAATTGGGTTATTAATAAATAAATTTGTATATGTAAACATATGTGACTGCATATGCATTTGATTGCCATTTGTAAATGTTTAGTATGAGTGACTATTGTTTGTTTGTTTTGAGTGCAAAAGTGTCCGGTGAGCACAACTAAAATGTATAATCTAAAGACAAAACAGTGAGAAGAACGATGTGGCACTCATATCAAACGGTGAATAACATAGCAATGAGTTAATAAATTGCTAAGCTGCTTAAAAAGAGCCAAAAGAGACAATTGTTAAATGTGACGTAAGAAGAAACAAGTTTCAAACAAAAAAATAATAATAAAAACATACTATTACAAAAAGTGAATTAATTGGAGATGTTACAATTGGTGGGCACGCACAACACGCAGGCCGCAGACAATTGCAAATATGGTACGTTCAAAGGGCAAAAACTGCCTGCGGTGTATTTTTGTGTAAATACGCGAAAAATAATAAGGAGGAACGTAATAATGTTTCCATACTTAATTTCGTATGCAGTCGCTTTGGGTCAAGCGAAACTATTGCGACTCAGAACACATTGACTGGCGCGCTTGTGTTGACTGCAGTCGCTATCGAAGGTGCTGCTACGTGGAATTTGCAAGCATGCGATTGAGAAGCGAATACCGGTGGGAAAATGGGAAAACAAAAAACGTGTGTTTTAATATCTGTTTTGTGGAAAAGTATGTAAATAAATAAAGCTGGTGAAACAGCTGAGTATTTTTATGAGGGCAGAGTGTAACAACATTAGCAACAGTTGTGTGTGGAGGTTGATTGAAGCAGGGTTAGAAGCTGATACTAAGTTGTGAGAGCAAAAAAAAAAAACGAAATAAAAAGCAACAAAGAATAGAAAAAAAGTATAAATAAAAATAATTAAAAAGTTAAACAAGAATATAAAAAATAAAATTTAATCGAAAATACAACATTTAATACAAAAAAATTTGCCGCAACTCTAAAGAATACCAGCAACTGTTTATCCAATGATTAGATAAAAGTCAAAACAACAACAACCATAAGTCAGAGCGCAAAAGTTACACATACGCGTAGTGGCGACTACACATACTGCAATAGCAGCAAGTGAAACATTATCAACGTTAAAGCAGATACTTAGATACATACGTACAAAGTACATATGTATGTATATATATATGCACATACAACTATTAAAACTTTAAAATATCTAGGCAATACGCTGATAATATTCGCGGTTTTTACCTTTCGTAGTTGATTATTGTCATTTGCCAAGTGTGGCCGAAGCCGTTTTGTGTTGTGATAACGTGCGGGTTTACTTATAACCATAACACCATAATAGAAGCAATACAAATTATTTAAAAAAAAATTTAATAGTTTTCACACCAGTATTTAATATAAGCAAAAATGTTAACAGAATTTGCTGGCAATTTGGCACACCACCTGGAATTTGGACATGCCTTGGAGATCGTGGCGAAGACCATAGACAGCGCCTCAAGGTAAGCGGCAAGTGTGCTTGCTCCAGTTCAACGTATGTTCATATTTATGTATGTATGCATAAACAATCGACTATTTCAATTAGCTGACACGCATAGTTTTCGGCAAACATGTATATTTTCTCATACGAATTTAATTTCTTGAATTTTTTTCGTAATTATAAATAAATGTTTAAATTAAACGTGCTTTCAAAAAATTTGTAAAGGCATTTACTATCAGCGATGAGCAATACGCTAAGTGACGTGTTAGATAAATACATACAAACATTTGTGAGCGTTTAACAAAATTAGTGATAGTGTAATCTACTTTAATAATAATGAATAATCAACACTGATTATATACATATTAATGATTTTATTGACCGTAAATATTTGAATTTAACTATTAATACATTTTTAGGAGGCATGAGTAATGTTTGGATTGTTATTTACATATTTTTGCTCGCATCTACCATAAAGTAAAAACCTTATTATATACAAGTCACAAAAATAATAAAAAAATTTAATTAATTAATTCAATTTCCAGCATTTAGAGTTTTATAAATCCGTTTTAGAACACTTAACTGTTGTTAATAAACATAAAACCATAAAATTCAGTTTATGGAATAAAATCATAATTGTGTTATTACCATAATTTGAAACAACATAAAAATTATCTATGCAATGCTGTAAAAATATTTATTTCAAATCGAGAGCGCCAATTGGGACGAAACGAGTAACGACGCCCTCTCCCATTCTCTATCTTTCTCTGTTGCAGAATAATAAACAACTCTTACAAGACTCAGATAATTAATAAATCAATTCTACTAAAGTAAAACCCCTATCCTTCAGTCAGTCCTGTTCAGCACTTGGAGCTTCAGTTAATTACACAAATATCATGCTTAGTTAAGCGTTACAACAACACCAAACAATAGAGCTCAATATTACTGACAACAGTTAATAAGCTGCTAAGATGATTACACCTCTTATTTGCTAGATTGTTGTAACAGAAATGGATCGGGTTTGATTTGAACTTTATTGCATAAGTTCCAAATAGAGAATATCTAATTCAGGCGCTCAATAATACTGTCATCTCTTAACTAACCATCTTAAAAGCCCTTTCGATTAGAATGCATAAAGTTTAGGTGATTGGTAATTTGTAGTATATATTTGGGCGCATTTATAAAAAATATAAGACTGAGAGGCCAACTCAAAGTAAGATGCTTACTTAAAAATCTGAAGTAATGCTACTACTAAATATAACCGTTAGAAAGTTGAAAGAAGTCGATTGTTTATAAATATATACAAGTGTATGTAAGTACATAAATCGTGCAATTTTTTATTAATTATTAGCATAATTAATTTGCTTTAAGATTTCAAATCAATTTGTCGACTGCCAAATCGGTGATAGATCCAAATGCCGACATCGGTTTGCGCTTCGCTTGCTCCTTTCGCAAGGATATAATTGTGCGCAATGCACGTATCGGCGGCGTGTGGGGTGAGGAGGAGATACATGACATTGAAGGACATTCATTGCAGAATCCCATTGAGTCGGGAGAGTTTTTCGTAATTTACATACTCGCTTGTGAGGAGAAATTTCACATAGCGATCAACAATCGACCCTTTTGTACATTCAGATATCGCATGCCACTCCAATCGTTACGCAGCATCGAGATAAGCGAACAGATACAGGTGATTAAGCAGGTGGATCATCGCGCAGTCTTCCCATATCCCTGGCCGGCTATACAATCATCCGATTTCGGGAAGGCGTTCAGTAATGATTCATCGATAATGTTTAGCCCAGGCCATTTAATTGTGATAACCGCACGATGTTTTGATAATAAGAAGGGTCAATTTATAATTAAATTTTTGGACAGCGACACGAAACGTGAGGAGCTGCATTTCAGCGTGCGTTTCGATCAGAAAGCCGTTGTGCGCAATTCAATGAATAAGGCCTTTGAGTGAGTCTACTAAATTTTATAAAAATTTATAAATTTCTTTTAAAAATATACATTCTACATATCGACATAGATTTGGACAGGAGGAGCGCCATGGCGGTTTTCCATTCGTCTTTAATCAGCAATTCAAGCTTGCCATCGCCTTTACAGAGCGCGAATTCCTCACCGCAGTGGATGGCTATAACTTCTGCAGCTATGCCTATCGCACAACAAATGTATTTCAAAATCTTGTCGGCTTCAAGGTTACATGTATAAATGGTTTGCATATGCATGTGACGGGTGTGGACCACTTGCAAATGGGTGATCCCTCTTGTACGGGTTTCGAAAAGTATTCAAAGCACGACTACGAATGTGCTTAGCACCAACATTCCGTATGCCAAATTTTCTTGTCGCACACATTCAATATAAGCATAAATATTTTTTGTACAAAACTATTAGTTATACCAAATATTTCAAATGCGAAATAAAAATTATCTACAAATAAAAGGTGGCAACACTTCAAGCTGTTAAGCTGCAATTTTTTTAGCTGTGTACATTTGTGTTTTTATATTAAAAAATTCTCGAAAATTAACTGATTTTTATTACCGTGTTAATACAAATTTTTAGAGATTAAACTCTCAGTTTCATGATAAGTATTTTATGTTCTGTTTTGTGCGGTATTAAAAAGTATTAAAAAGAACATAAGCATACGGATGTTATATACACAGACTTTAGCAAAGCTTTCGATAAAGTAAATATCTCGATTCTCATACATAAACTTGATCTTCTGGGCTTTCAGCCAAGATTCCTTCAATGGGTATCTTCCTATCTTTATAATAGAACACAACGAGTGATATTTGAGGATACACCTTCAGATACAATTAATGTTTCTTCTGGTGTTCCGCAAGGTAGTCATCTTGGCCCGATTCTGTTCTTGTTGTTTACTAACGATATCTCTTCAGTAATAAAAGTCTCAAAAATTTTATTATACGCTGACGATGTAAAGCTTTTTAAATCATACACTTCAACTGAGGAAAGGTGTCTGTTGCAAACAGACTTAAACAATTTGGTTGCATGGTGTGATAGAAATGATTTGCCATTGAATCTCAATAAATGTAAGACGATGTGCTTTTCCCGTAGATCTGTGCACCCCTCTTCTTACGTAATAAAACACCATATTCTAGAGCAAGTTTTAAACTATGTTGATTTGGGAGTTAATATGGACCCTAAGCTTAATTTCAGTCTTCATATTGATACCATGGTCTTGAAAGCAAAAGCTGTCCTCAGTTTTGTTAAACGTTGGTCTAAAGAATTTAGAAATCCGTATATTACTAAAACACTTTATACAACTTTGGTTAGACCTATATTGGAATATGGCTCTGTGGTATGGAACCCTAGCTACCAAATCCATTCTGACAAGTTAGAGTCGGTTCAAAAACAATTTTTACTTTTCGCCTTAGCGCATTTCCGATGGGATGCTAGGGTAAGTCTACCTCCATACACAAGTCGTTTAAAACTTATTAATCTACCTACACTTTCTAGTCGTAGGGAAATGCTTGGCATAATATTCTTAGTGAAACTTTTGAATGGAACTGTTTGCAGTTCTTTTCTCCTGTCTGAAATTAAATTTAATATCCCGGTTCGCCTTTCGAGGCAGTTTAGACCTTTACTGCTAAAATCCTGTAGATCAAATTTTGAACTAAACGAGCCATTCCGCCGTATATGTCATGATTTTAATTCTCATTCCAGCACATTTGACTTATCTGACTCACTTTTCAAAATTAAAAAGACTTTATTGTTTTCTCTTAATAAATGAAAATGTAACAATTTATTATATTGTAACTTTAGATCTTAGCTGTTGAAATTTTTGTTTCTGTAGCTGAGCAGTTTTAGATCTCAACACTTAAAAAACTCTCTTGCCTTTTCTGACTCGGCTAATTCCGCACGTATGCGGATTGCGCCCCTCGCGTCGGTTGGGCGGGAGGAGGGTAATCGTTGGGTTTATTATTATTATTATTATTATAATATATATTTTTTTGTTATTATACTCACATTTCCTGGCGCTGTGACATCGTTGCAGAAGTAACAACCCAAATTTGTACCACCGATACACTTCAAATCACCAATATCTATTGCTTGTGCGGCATCGCCAGCTGCTTCATTGCCTTGCGAACCGGCACCATGACGCATCACCAAGTAGCTGTCAAAGCCTAACGCGGCATTAATAACTATCTGTAAAGAAAACAAACACAGGTAAAAAGTGAAATTCTCATCAGAAATTAAGCATTCTGTACGAACCTTTTGAAAAATAGTGCCCAGCAGTGTGGGCAGCCAACGGCTCTCGCGTGAATCGGTCAACAAGAAAATAGCATCATGTTCTTCTACTAAACTTTTGATAGTATTCAAATCCTCATTGATTTGTTGCTCCATCGATGCGCCTATGGTATGACCTGGCATGGGTATTTGCATGACATGCCCTGTGGAGGCCTGTAAATGAAATATATAAAATTACAACTATAAACACCACTTGTCTACTAATTTTTACGCACAGCAGTTGGATTGATTTCTTGCATACGTTTGGCCGCCGTAACCGCCTTCATTGCGTTGCCTGCAATGGCATCTGCGTGCGTGTACAGCGTTTGTCGCAATGGATTTGAATAGCTGACACGACCATTATCTAGAAACGTTAAATGTTTAAAGCCCCAAGCGAGTAAATTACGCGCCACATTACAGCCGAGAGTGCCGGCGCCAAACAGTAAACATTTTGTATTCGCAATTATATCTAAATTCAAATCAGGCACTAAACGCCATTTCATCAGTTTCAAATTCAAGTTTATGGCACTTTCGACTAGACTGAAAATTATAAAAAAAATGTATATATTTTAAATTATTTTTGTTTTACCATATGCAAAGCTTACATTTTAGGATCCATGCTGTCTCGCATCGACACCATACGTGGACCCATTTTGTTATTGCGGTTGGGTTCCCAACCAACGAATGGCGTATCCTCATTAAAACTCACTGGTTCCGTTTGCTGCACGGTCCAAACGAGGCTTTTGCCACATTCATTTTTGCTATTGTAGCGCAAGCCCAAAAATCTCACCGTTTTACCAACTAAGCTGGGACTGTATATATAAACACATAACATAAAAATTAGAAATATTAATGAGATCAGGCTTAAATTTAACTAACCATTTGTAAAAAATGTACGCCGCATATACACGCATCAACCATGAGGGATGCTTGTATTCACTGGGGTCGGCGAAGCCAAAATAAAGTTCATCACATTGCTCTGCTAATACCGCATTGTTTGCAAGTAAATTTTTCAGAGTATATATAGTATCCTTTTCGTTGCTTTTGACTATAAAAAAATTGGGCTTTTGTGCTTGACTTTTTAGTAAGCTTTCTAAATGCAGCAGTTCTGGAATGTCAGACAAAGACTGTGGTGAGGAACCATTTTCTACTTTTAGTGTTGGTGTTAGTGGACAAGGAAATGCAAACCAGTAGTAGTAATTGTAAGTAGTTAGATCCTGTAAGGGTATAAATGTACATTTAAACAAAAAATTAATTAAAATAATATCAAATATTACTCTATGATATAATAATTTTCAAAAGATAGGGATAGATAGAGGAATAAAACGAAAAATTAACCGAAGCTATGATACCGGACATACGGACATTGCTAAATCGACTCAACTAGGCATGCTGGTCATATATATACATATATATATTATATAGAGGCCTGACGTTTCCTTTTGGCTGTTACAAACATCATGGCAAATATTCCTTGATCAGGGTATAAAAATCAGCCAGTTCATTTCTACATATGGCTTGTAAATACAACGGTTGCAGAAATCCACACCGACATCTACAAAAACAAGTGACGTCATAATTATTAAAATTTATATTACCGCAAATGAAAGAACAAAGAATCGCGCAAGTAATTTGGGGTCATCCAGAATACGGTCGTTTCGAAAATCATCCACCAATTGACGCCCCTCTAACCGCAACAACTCATTTTTATCACAAGCTTTGAAGTCTTCAATTGTATTTTTGTTGTACAGCGTACCGAAGGCAGGGTAATATAGTCTTGGCGCCGTAAAGTCGCTGGAATTTGCCAAGTGTTTTATTTACATTAGTAATTGGCGCATAGCTATCATAGTTTATTTTTTTTTAGCTCATCTCATATGAACTCACCCGTTGAAAGCAGCATAATCTGTTTCTAACAGACATGCCTTTGCGTTGAAATTGGTGTAGTAAGCAAAAATTGGCTTTGGCGCATCCGATAGTCGATCATGGTTCAATTTAATATCAGATAATTTGTGCCAAAATGTTGGATTCACAAAGGATTGCAGTGGCGCGTATTGTAGGACGGTTGTGTCTGACATCGCGTACTAATTTAAGTTATCTGTCACTTTAAGATAACACTTAATTGATAAACTTTCTGTGCTGTTGATAATCCAGCCGTCGTCGTCGTTGGTTTGATCTCAAATATACGTGTGGCTGGACAGCTTTGTAAAAATATCGTTCTTTGTGTTTACTCACGCAAGCGTATTTTACGTTTTGTTTATTTCACTTTACTCGTACTGCTGGCGTTTTTTGTGTACACAATGCCAAATCTTAAAATCAATATTCTATAGATAAAAGCAAAAAAATATGTATTGTAATCAGTATTTTGCAAATAAAAACACAAACATTTGAAAAACGTATAAAAACTGAAGTCGTCAGCTGATTGAAACAAAGACAAATTGTGCTGCCAGTTATTCTTAATTTCGCGTTTTAACCCCAAAATTACACTTTGGGTGCATATTGACTGAACTATATAAAATATAAGCATTAATTTACTACAAATGTGTTTTTGAAGTAGTTTATTATTATTATTTACTTCAGTAATTCATAATATAAAATTAATATTTTATTTTCCACTTGTAAGATGTGGAAACTATTTTTAGTTATAAAATTCGCATTTTTAAGTTGTTGTTGTAACCAGTACCTAGGTCCGGTGCAAACAGGTTTAGATCCTTAAAATAAAAGCCTTTGGTTATATTTTATTTTCCACTTGTAAGATGTTTATTGGAAACTATTTTTAGTTATAATATTCGCATTTTTAAGTTGTTGTTGTAACCAGTACCTAGGTACGGGGCAAACAGGATTAGATCCTTAAAATAAAAGCCTTTGGTTATGGGAACTAACTAATTAATTTAAGTATTTATTATTGTTGTTGTAACATAACATATATTGTCAGCATAAAGGCCTTGGTTGGATAAAAATCTGTTTGGTTCCAGAAACAGAATTCTATTGAGGTGTCAGTCATTGATGGGATGTATGCAAATTGGTTTTGGCCTACCGCCGTCCATATTTTGTTATTGCATTTATTTTGATTCTTGTGCTATAAATAATCAAAGTTTTCTTATAGTTATAACAAATATATTATTTCTTTTTATTTGGTACAGAGTCATTGACCATACCCACGTTTATAACCGTTCCAGTTGTATAGGTTCATGTACTCCCTATGTTGAAAACGTACGATAAATATTTAAAAACAAAGAACATTTTCTAATTTCCTATATTGATTTCAATTAATTAAAACTTGTTTATAATTACATTTATAAAAAAGGTATTATAATTTATTTCATAATCTGTATAGATGCACATATCCGTATATTACAATTAAGAAAATCAATGCGCGAAATAATTAATTAAATACTTAATGCAATATAAAATTTTAAAAAACAGCCTTGTACAACTGTGCAACAGGAAATCTATATATAACAAGTTCCTCAATTGTTTTTAAAATCTTACTTTTATCAACTACAATACAAATTTGTTTTTTATCACCACATCTTTGCCATCAAATGTGATTTCATCCACGAACTGTTTTCTATTCACACGACACTGTACACCACAGCGCGTTGAGCCACAATTTTTGCACTCAAACCAACAACCTGGACACTTTTCATCCAAGCAGTCACATATATCCATGCCATTATGACGCATGTGACCATACTCATCATAAACTGTAGAACGTGAATTGGTTAGCTTGCGCTTCAGCTTGCGCTTTTCACGATTTGATTTTTCAGGATCAAAATCCTCCAGGAACTTTAAATCTTCTGAGCGCTCGCGTAGTCGCCGATCTGACTGTTGTTTGCGTGGTCGTTCACGCAACGACATACGCAGTGCACCGACACCCTCAGTTAGCTCGCTATCAGTATCCATAATATTTTCTTGTTTTACTATTTTCTATTAAAACGAGTTTTGAATTTTTAATTTGAAGAAATAACAAATGTTTTGAGCGCTAGCGTTGTAAAATTTAATTATTTTGACAGTATGAATTAGTGTTCAGCTGTTTAACATATCTTGTAGTGACCAGACAGACACGAATTCTTAAACATATTAGTTGAGGAATTTACGAGCAAGATATGGAATAAATGTGGGAACGTTTCGTAAAAATTAAGTGTTGCCACATTTTATAGGGAATTTTTAGAAAGCGAAAAATTAAAAAAATAATAATTTATATAAAAAAAATATTTTTGGTACAATATTTTTTTATCGCAATTGCTGTTTTAGCTCCAAATATACTTTTAACTCCGAAAATATGCTCCTTTAATACATACATATATACAAATAAATATATTATATATAAATATTTATAGATATGTACATATTTACTTCATTGTCACCTAATTTTATGCATTTTCTTTTACTTTCAGTTAATAACAGGCATTTTTTTTTGGCAATCAGTGTCTAAATCAATTAGCGCTTAGTTTTGGCATAAGCCACCTTACCACTTTCTATATAACAAATACAAATTAATTATTGCTGGAATTTGTTCATTGTCTTGGGTTTTGGTTTTTTTAACATGCCATATTTATTGTTTTCCAATAACTTATATACATATATGTGGAAATAAATTTATTATACGCACCTATGTTCATAACCACTTGTATGTGTGTATCTGTGTAGTAAGTTAATGGCCAACGCCAATTTAGCGTCTAAGGTAAGTATGAAAATTCCAACACGTTCACTCAATATTATGAAAGCAATGCATCGTTTTAATACAACAAGCGTTGCCTCAATAATGTCATAACTCAAAAATAGAAAACATTTTTTAAAGTAAAGAAGTAATTTATTTTATTTTTAATTATATGAAACTATTATTTTGCCTTAGTATAATTTGCCTCTAAGAACTCATAACTGACATATATATTTGAAACTGTGCTTTTACTAAAAAAATCAATACAGGCTTAGCTGTTTCTAAACTGAACTTACAAAGCTTATGTGTACTGAAGAATATTTCGAAGAGATTTCTGCATTGTTTTCATAAACCTGACCCAGTGCCCCTTTCACCATTAGTAAGCCTCCTTAAATTTTTCTCTTTCCGCTTTGCTTTTGGTGCCATTGTTTTAGGCGCCCTGGTTTCGGGATGATTTTGATCGGGGAAATTTTTTCGAATTTTTTACAATATCTGCATCGTAAGTTAATGCTAAGTATAATGCCTCCTATATCGCAATGCCTTTATGTCCTGAGTTGCAAATAATGCATTAAAAAATAATTTAATTAACATTTCAATTAAATTTTATTTTATTTTGAAATCGCAAATACCGGCTTGAAAAAAAATTGTATCCAAGATGTTTGGGATAAAAAATTAATATTTTTAAAATTTTTATTAAATTAAAATATACATATTTTTGTATTCTTATTTGTTTAATTATTATTATCCAAAAAAAAAAGAGTATTTATTCTAAATATAGAATATTTATTCGAAATATTATTCTATTTTTAGTTCCAAAATCCAAATTAAAAATTGAAAATTTAATTCTTAATTCAAGACTTGTGTATTAAAAGTTTGCAACCTGATTACCAACAAATCGTTATTAAGGGACGTGAATAAAAAAAATGATTTAGTTGTTTTGTATCGATAGTCTGGCTCTTTGAAAACAAAACAACCTTAGTTTTAAATCTATCAAAAAGTGTTTTTGAGTTACGTCCTTCTAATGTGTAGCCGCTCAGTTCCATCAGCTCCAACAGTTTATCTTTAATTTTTCGAAATTCCAATTCTCTAATAAAAAAGTCCCAAACAGTTTTGTGTAAATCGGCTTACACTCTAGTTTTATAGCTAAATCCTTCGAATCGATGAATTATCTCGCTATTCTGCTCGACCAGATAATTTTGAAATCAGTTTTACTGGCGAACAATTTTCCGATAGTTTTTAACAATACTATAAAAAAATTCTGTAATTATAAAAATATAAGAAAATTTATAAATATATGTATGTATGAACATATTATAAAAGCACTAGGTTCGTTGTGGATAGGAAGAATTTGTTTATTAAACCAAGGCCGGAAAACTAGTGTAAAATTTCTTGGTAAAATTCCATCTGAAGGATTCATTAGATCGAAGAAAAAGTATAATCAATTCACCACTTTGTATGCCAATGCTCTCCAATCTATTTAACTTCCAACTTATATTGAATTACCTGTTTTTCTTTCGCTATTCAAGTCTAATATGGACAATATTAAAAGCGAGATAGGATGAAACTTCACCTAAACAAGCTTTTACAAGTTTTACAAAAATGAACCGTCTCCGAAATAGGTCGAAATAAGGTCCTCACCTTAGTATTAGGAACGGAATTGGATTTTATTTGGTCGAGGACTGTCAACTCGGCGTATACGGTCAATACGGATATAAATTCCCTCCGGAGTGTGAAAGGTTTTTTCTACTTGTAGGGTTCTCATGGAAAAATAGTTCAAGGTGGAACTTTGTGGTGCTCACTCTACTGTTAATTGAAAAGGCTGCAGATTAATTAGTTCAGCCTTGAGAATTTCGAGTGAATTCTGAAGTATGCATTAGTACCTAAGTTTAAAAGCGTAAAAGTGGCTAAAATAGAAAGGAGATAATAACTGATTCCATCTCCTCAAAGTCTTAAATTGAGAAAAAGTTTAAAAGGTTGCATCGTTTCTGTGAAAAGTTAAGTAAATTCTGCCGAGGGCACAACTCAGATATGAGAGTTGTGGTTTTCCTAGGTTTCACAGGTACACTTCTTATAGCAAATATATGCATAACGAAATCTGAAAACGTAAACGGCCAACGGCCACTTGATATGCTATAGTTGTCCGATCTGAGCAATATATTCGTAGATTGTACTGTTGCCTTAAAAAAAAAACTATCCGAAATTTCGTGAGGATATCTTGTCAGGTAAAAAAAATTTTCAAGTTTCAGTTTGTATGACTGCTACTTGTATATGCTACTAATGAGCAGCTTCTTGGTGAGAAAAGGATGTGTGAAAATTTTCAGATCGGTATCTCAAAAGCTATAGCCCCCCATATTCGCATATAAATAGAAAGACGGACATGGCTTAATCGACTAAGCTCGTCACGCTAATCATTTATATATAAATTATACAGGTTCTCCGACGTTTACTTCCGTAAGCACATTTAGTGACACTCGAAGTAAGTCCTTCTATTATTTTCTAAAGCACTGTATTTTTTTCGATTTTTAAATATTTTTCATTGGAGATTTCTTTGTGGCAAATACCCTTCGGTTGCATGTATTTACCTTTTTTAAATTGTTCAAATATTTTTACCATTATTCTTTGTATTCAACTATAAATTTTTTTACTGTTATTATGTGTTAAAAAATACTGCATTTTTTAATATTTTTTGCCGTCATTGTGTATATTTTGTTCACACTGTGTTGCTTGCACCGTTGAAATAATTGACTAGATGAGGCATAGCCGCTTTCAAAGAGAATGGCGCACAAGCCTAACTTCAGCTATGCCGACATCTTGCCAACTGATCAACAGATTTTTGAGAAAAATACTTTAGATGATAAAATTATAGATTATTATTATTATTATAATTATTATTTGTTTAATCTAAATATTTTCTACAATTAAAATGTTTCATAACAAAATTTTGTTTATTTATTATTATATTTTAATAGAATTATTTATTGAATTAAAATAATTTTTTCTAAATTGTTTTTTTAATAAATGTATATTTTTATTTTTATTTTTAATCGCAAATTATATTTTTAGTTTTGGTTAATAATTTTTTAATTTAAATGTTATCAAAATAATTTTTTTACATTATAATTTACTCGAAATACTTTTTTTATTTTATTATTTTTGGATAAAAATATATTTTTATTTTTCATCGGAAAATTTATTTTTAATCTATTATGATTTAATTTTTGTTAATTTACAATTATTTTAATATAAATATATTTTATTGAATATTTTTATTTGAATATTGTTTTTTATATGATTTTTAATATTTTTTAGTGAAAATTTTTATAAATTTAAATATCTTTTTATGATTTTTTTTAAATATATTTTTTTTATGTAGTTCTTTTAATTTTATGTTTTTTTAATATTTTTAAGAATTTTTGATATTTTTTATAATTATTGAATTTTTTTTATAACTTTTGATAGCTGTTATAATTTTTGACATTTAATTTTTAAAATCTTATATAAATTTTGATATTGTTTATCATTTTTGATATTTTTTTATAATTTTGATTTTTTTAAAATATTTTTTGATATTTTTTTTAATATATTTTGAGATTTTTTGTTTTGTCAAAAAGGAGTAAAAATATAGATCTCGAAACGCACAGCCTAATCTCCAATATTAATCCGTCAGTCGTGGTGACCGATTGGCAACTGATTTGTTAGACCCTGCACGACCTCAGCACCACACCTTCTCGCCGGCTCAAGAAATTCACTGAAAACATAAAGTAAAAAACACACAAATTTATTTATCGAAGAAGTTTACGAAAATACAAATTGCTGCATTGTTGTTGTGTGCGTGCGCGATTTGCATGTAATACGCATACGTAAAGTGCGTTCAAATCGCGCATGTGTGTGTGTGAAATCGGTTTTTATAGTGGTTAGAACTAGTAGATATTCGAAAACGGTGGCGATTTGTTACTTGAAATGGCAAAAAAGAAATTGTGGACAACAACCATACTACAAATAAATGATGTTTTAAGTACCAATACAACAAGAAAGTGCGGGTGTTGCACTAACACCAAGAATATTAAGCGTACACACACATACAAAGCAATTCCGGTCAACAGGTAAGCTAGCCGTAGCCAACACACACGCGCACTCACACATTTATATGACACACATAAGCAGTGGTGTGCGCATGTGTGCGTTCCCTCCACACAATGGCGCCTGAGTTGAATTTTAATTAAACTCGTTTCATTTCGTCTTTAGCCATAAACAAAGTAAGCAAATATCGATGTTTGTTTGTATATACTTGTATGCTCACATACAAGTACAATTACATTGTTGTTGTTGCAATAATCGTCACATAACTGAAGTAAGGCAAGCGTATGGCTATGATTCGTAAGCGAATGGTTGAATGAAAGTGCTGAGCAA